CACTTTGTGGCCATTGTCAAGTTGTTGGTATTCTTCTTACTCTAAGACTTGACCTTCTGTGATTCATATTTTTATAATGGAAATAGATAATGGTGGATCTTTTGTTGTTTGTTTTCCGTCGGGAAAGACAAAAATATTTCCTGTGTATCTTTCAAGCAGTAGCATAGTCATTCTTGGTCTGGGGCATTTAGGGTGAAGGATTATCACAAGTGCAGAAAGTTATACATTAGAGTTCCCGTAAGACTTGTATAGATAAGACTGTTTGTTTTTGTGTACTCATGTCTGTTTTCAGTAATGACCTGTTTTTCAGACCTGTTTCTTTGTCCGAGATAGTGGTTGTTGATATTGTTATGTAACTGAACTATTTTTAGAATGAAGACAAAGACTGTTGATTGTGGTAATTTTTTTGCTTTTACTTTCTCTTAGTTACCTGTCTAAAAAAAAAGAAGATTATTGCAGTTGTATGTAAACAGCCTCCATCCATTGATATGTGTGACAAGCTCAGATGATGTTAATTGCATCATGTCTGTTGTTTGTTTCAGTAAGGTTTTACGGTGCTTGCAACTGCAAATGTAAGGTCATATGACTGCCAAGGGGTGGATGTCGACAGAGAAGTCCAAACTGGGAATCAGGCTTACTCTGCTCACCTCTCTAGCCTCAACAGCACAAAATCTGCTTCGAACTATCAAGGAACCCGGGAAATACCAGTTCACAAGAGAGTGACACACATACACAAAAGAAGTAGAGGAAAAATGACGATAGTAAGGATGAGGAAAGAAAAAGCAGTTTCCCCTATGTTGCTCCAGCACAGTATGAGCATGACATTGATAAATCAGCCCATTTTTAAAAATTTACAATTGTACTATGCATAAGAACATGCCCCCCTTCAGTCAGTAGCACTGCCCTGGTGGGAGGATTGCATCATGTCTAAAAGATATTTTGTTGTATGGAATGTGTACTTTTGTCTGCCATTTCTATTTTGTTGTTGATGAAGATTTGATAAATATATATATATTTTTTGGTCCCCAGGCTTTCTCTGTGTTCTTTGTGTGCATCGCGATTACATCAGATGTCATTTGCTACCTCTTCATACCCGTGCAATGGCTTTTCTTTGCGGCCAGCACATATGTTTGGGTTCAGTATGTCTGGCATACAGGTATGTGAGAGTTATTTTTTGCATCAAATTGAGGCGAAGATTGTGGGTACTGGTATAGGACAAGTCACTTTTTATGTGTTTCATTGTTTATCTGAGATAAGAAGGGACAAATCTGTGCGTTAACCTGAGTGTCCGAAGACTGTTCTAGATTCAGCATTCAGGAATTTGAGAGGCTTATCACATGCACTACACGAAAACTAGTCCTACTTAATGTTATTTTGTTTGTTGTTACGTAATCTGATGTTCCTACATTGGGTGTCCCAGACTCGGTTTGGAAAATGTTGGCAAGCATGATATATACGGTCTTTTGTGAAAGGAAAAAAGAGTGAATATAAAATTCCTCTTTTATTACTTTTTCACCCATGATTTTATGAATATATTGAAATTTTGGTGAAAAAAAAAAGAATTGACGGTTGCATAAACTACACTCATTTCTTATAATGATATGGTGATAATCTTTGTCATATTTTGTGAACTTAAAGCCCAGGTGATATTGTTAAGGTTTGAGCTGCTTCTGGGGATGGGAATCAACTGTTGTCTGCACAAAATTATTCTAGCAGTTTTTATTAAAAAAGATGATGCTTTAGTTTCCATTTACTGAATTGGCCTTATGGTTGCCATGGAGATTGTATCATCTTGAATTTCAGATTTTTGAAAAAAATAAAGATTATCTAATTCTGCGATATTTTTATTGTGATTATCATAATATGGATCTAATGGATAATACATATATTTGTTTTCAGAGAGAGGCATCTGTCTTCCGACTGTTTCACTGTGGTTGCTGTTTGTTTACATTGAAGCTTCGATACGGCTGAGGGAATTGAAAAGTTTACCTTTCAATTTAGACCTCTGTAGACCTTTTGCCTGTCACTGGTGAGTGGTGCGCTGTGCTGTCTCTGCTGTCCCCTGAATCAGACACATCGCTACCTTAGAGTTTCAAAGTTCTACCCGACATTTTTGGCCGTTTTTCAGTTACAAAGACCATGAAGTCAGAAACCAAATGTGAGGCATCGTGGTGAAATCAGACTCTCATCAAAATAGCAAATTTGCAGAAACAGGCAATTTCCCTCCAGTTTTGCAATTTTAGTCAAATTTTTGTTTTTTTGTTCAACCCTATTATTTGTCCAAATAAAAACACATTTCCATGTGAATTATATTAAAAAACGTTGATGAAAAGCTCAAACTGTAATTTTTCAGTTTTCAAGGATTCTTCTGCTATTGAAGTTACCAAACTTTGGCGGCCATTTTCTCGCTATTTTTACTGCTGATACCCAAGTGAACTTACCTCTTTCAATCACAAATATCTTCACTTCTGTTCAAGATAGATGGGTATTTTTTTTCATCAAAAGCCAGATAAATGAACAAGCTTTAAGATGATACCAATAACTCCACATGCACAAAAGTTGACGAGCGCATGATTCCACCGCGTCGTGACACAAATGTCCTATCTGCTCTATCAAAATCGTATGATTATTTTGAGTCATTATCAAAATATTCAAAGAATCGCATTCGAAAAAGCATGACATTTTGTGAAATTCAAGACATGTTATGTCAAATTTCCCAAAACTAGGTACTGAGCAGACAGAACTTTGTAATTCTAAGGTTGCGACATGCTTGCTTACACAATACATCTGAGCCTGCTCTAATGGCCACCCGCCCAAGACAAATCAGTTTCACAATCAGTTCCCACAGACCCCATTGCATTTTTTCTATATTATTGACACTTCCTAATACGTCCCATCATTCTTAGACAACCACTTTTCTCCTCGATAATGGGTGGCAGTCTTGGACAATTTCGATTGTAGCTTAACACTATCCACCCACGCAGTGCGAAGAGCGTGCAACATTTATCCCCACGGATCAGGATACAGATGCGGTACATGCTATATCACACCGCCGCTGATTGGCATCCTGTGGGGATAAGGTGCGGCTTCTTATCATCGCTGATTGGTGTTTTGTGAGGGCAAAGTGTTAACAAAATGTGTTATGAAAAAGTTCACAGGAAAGCGAACTTGTGAGACCATAGTAGATTATCCATGAAAACCCACCCCATTGACTAATGGAATTGTCTTCTTGAGATAGTTACCATCTATATGTTTTTCTACACACACGCATCTCAAAATGTGGACTCTCAAAATGTGTTATGCACACACTCCGACTTGCTAGTAAGAAGAACAAAGACATTTGTGCAGGACAAAAATACATCCAAAAAATACTATTCTTAAATTTGATATGCATAGAGTGAGGATATTAAGTTTTTGCGTACAATTTGTGGTTCTTGAATTATTCTAGAAGCTAATTTACTTTTTAATGTTCTTTGGAGGGGGGGGGGGGTTGTTTTATTTTGTTTTTCCATTGAGTAAGTGTGAAGTTTGAATTTTCATTAAATTTTAGAAAGGTCAGCATTTGATGCAGGCCAATGAAGACTTTCTAAATGATTGGGTCTATTCTCAAAATAATTTTGTGCTCATTGGATGCATTGACATTTATCTGTTGGTTTTTTTTCCCCTTTTTTTTCAGCATTGGCTACCCAGTTGTAACATTAGGGTTTGGTTTCAAAAGCTATGTTTCATACAAGATGAAATTAGTAAGTACTATGTTAAAATTTATGTTTGTGATCATGTTTTAAAGTTATACTTTTTTTCATTAAAGCGATTAGTTATAGATTGTGGTGATTCAGGTAATCATTTAAGCTGAAACAACTGCTTTTTAACTGCTTGAACAGTAATTTATCTGGCCCTGAAGTCTTGGGCTTATCAGTGATTATGTAGAGAGCTCATGAACTCTTGATTATAATGATAATAATAAATGACATTTATATAGCGCTCAACCCCGATTAAAGTACACAGGCTCTGAGCGCTTTACAATATAATACAATAGTAACCTAAAACGTTGTGTTTTGACCAAAGGGTTGATTGTTTAAACTGGTGGTGGGCTTCACTCATTAGGTATTGAATTTGTACACCATTCGTTGTAACTCAAATCCCAGCAATAGAGTCCTGAAAGAGAAACAAGTTCAATATGAATGGGACCGTTCATTCTTTTCTTCATGTTTTATGGTGGACGTTGTCTGTAGTGTTTGTGTGGAATCAGGAACCTTACGTTGATTTTTTTTGTTTTATGAAGTGTTGCTCTTGATTTTTTACTTGTTTTTTTTTCCCCCTGAGTACAATGTTTGTGGTAATTGATTTTGAACCATATTATTTTTCTGATTGGTTTTAACGGCTTTGTTGTATTTTGTCTGCAGCGGCGGCAAAAGGTCATACAAAAAGAAAATGATTTTTATCTTCAAATATTACAACAAGCACTCCCTGCTGAAGTTCAGTATGCTGATAAACCCAAAGGTAAGATTTCATTATCGTATTTCTAAATTTTCTATTGGGTCTCTGGGCCTTCTTTTGACTTGTGAAGAATTTCTTTTGCTGATAACTGTGTTTTTTTTTTTTCACGATGTAGCTGTGTTTGGAGTTGTGGGAGGTTGATGATTTTGCGGAAAAAATGGGCGCTGAATACCCCATAAATCTCTATGATTTCTTTGTTTTGAAATGTTATTGGGTTTCCATGTATTAAGTGTGCTTGTAGGTTTTTGATGGAGCAGAAAAACTCATGTGCGTGGTTGGGGGGTGCTCTGGTGTGGTTTGCTTCTTCTTTCCTATCAAACATCTATCATCCTTATCTCCCTTTCTTCTTTTTTATGTTTGTTACTCTCTTGTAACACCTCTAATCTTCTGGCGCTCATATGACGTTATGCAGTTGCGAGCGCTGTAGAACCTCTACTTAAACTAAAAACTAAAAGAGAACTCATGTAGAAGTGGGATTAGAATTGGATTACTTTTTCTTTTGTCTACGTTCGTTGCCTGATTGTTTGTTTGTTGTTTGTTTTGTTTTTTTTGTCAGCTAACCTCATCATCATTTCAATTTCCTCGTGCTAGTTGTTGCTAGGTGCTCTTGTGTTTGTCACTCTGCTTCTTTTTGATTTGTGTTCTTGTTGTCCCAATCTGTTCCTGGTGAAATGTGGCTTTAGTTGTGTTTAATTGTTTACTACAAGTAAGAATGAAAAACCTTTTTCATGGGTGGTTGGCGGGTGCTCTGGTGTGGTTTGCTCCTTCTTTCCTATCAAACATCTACCGTTCTTATCTCCCCCCCCCCCCTCCTTTTTTTATGTTCGTTTCTCTCTAATAATGCCTCTTATCTTTTGCACTTATACGACCTTGTTGTGTTGTATGTGCCATAAAACTCTTACCAAAAAAATCCCCAACGTTTTTCGACAAGATGTTGCAGCCCACATGGTCTCCAGAGTGCAGTTTTATTTCTGCGGAGGGACTTCCTTCCTCCTCATGCTCGACTCTCACCCTCATCCTTACTGTCTTCAACCGCACCCTCCCCTCGTCTTCATCTTTGACTGCTCTTCTCTTGTTCCTGTCTTACACTGCCCTTACGTCTGTACTTTGTACTCTAAAATGTGTTGATATGGCACAAATCATTCCATCAGTTTCTCTCTTTATGTTGTTTTTGTTTGTGTACATGAATGGAGGGGGGGGGTGTGCTTGGGAAAAAAGTATGGAAAAGGGATTAATTCCCAGTTCTCAAAATTGGGATGACTACAATACTTTCAAACCAATTTAATTGGTCAGTCTAGTCGTTGACTCTTCTTTCACAGTGGCAGTTTCTGCTGAGGTCAGCACAAATTTCATTGCGATAACCCCAGTTGATTTGAAAATATAATTGTAGCTTAATGCTACTTAAGTCCCTTTGGCGTGATGTCGTGGGGGCATTGAAATAGCTGATGTTGAAGGTCTCATGCTGCTGATCAGTTAGGAAACATCTAAGGTTTTTTTTAAATTTGGGAATATATTGATGAAATGGATACAAATAATGTGTCTCAGTTGCTTATCTTTTTTCAACAGAGCCAAAAACTTTTTTTTTCCTTAGATTTTTTTTTTTTTTCAGGTTATACTTTTTAATCGTGTAGTAACTATTTACTTGTGTAGCACAGGCTTACAAGTGTCGAGTCAAAGTGCACCCTGTTGTCCTCTTTCACATGTCTTCTGAGTGGGTGATTGGCGGGTGCTCTGGTGTAGTTTGCTCCTTCTTTTCTATCAAACGTCTGTCGTCCTGATCTCTCCTCCTTCTGTTTTATGTTTGCTACTCTCTTGTAACGCTTCTAATCTTCAGCACTTATATGACCTTATTGTGCTGCAAGTGCTGTAAAACTGTTACTTAAACTAAAACATGTCTTCTGCTGCAAATATACCATCTCGAGATACTGCTGCCCAGCACTTTGCATCCCTGCTCTAGATATTTTGTCGTGTTTTTGTCACTGAAAATTACTTATTTTTGTTCAAAAATTGTCGAGTGTAGTGAGAGGAAGATAGAATTCACGTTTTTGTAGGAATTTATTGTTTATTGCATGAAATAATTTGTCCACGTTGTTCCTTCTCCACAGCTTTACCATCAAAATCAGAAGAGGAAGTAATCTCAAATGGTGTTTCTGGTTCATCAAGCAAAAAAGTTTCTTCGTCTTCAAAATTGGACGACGAAAAAGACTCCTCTTCTTCAGTTAACTCAAAAACAAAAATCAATGACGATGATGAAATAGAATATATAGAGAAAAGTTTGCCTCGGAAAGCGTCCAATGTGAATCAGTTTGACGAAAGTGCAGACAACTTCGCCAATGAACAGCAGGCAGGGAAGGCGTTCAAGTCGGGGAACAGCAGTGTGGCGGCAGCTGTTGCTGTCGCGGCTGCGTCGTCGATCCCACTGCCCTCCACCAAACCAAGCAGCAAACAGCTGAACAGCAGTAAGGACACTAGTTCCAGTAACGCGTCGTCAAATTCGTCATCGGCCCATCAATCGTCGTCCAGTTCCTCTTCTAAAAAGGGCAAAAACATGTACAGAGAGCTCCAGCCTTCACCCTCACCTGTGTCATACACAAACAACAAAGATGAAGTCATACAGAGGTACGTGCTCCCCTACAGCCTAGCTGATCTACTCTATAGATATGGACTCGTTTCAGATCAGTCAGATTTTTACAAAAGTGTGTGTGGTACCAAGAGTTTGGTTTTGCTTTGTGATAATTGTGTGGTGTCAAGAGTTTGGTTTTACTTTGTTTTCATTGTTTTTGGTACCAGGAGTTTGGTTTGTGGGTGGTTGGCGGGTGCTCTGGTGTGGTTTGCTTTTTCTTTACTATCAAATAACTGTCGTCCTTATCTCTCCTCTTCCTTTTTTCTGTTCGTTACTCTCTTGTAACCCCTCTAATCTTCGGCACTTTTATGACCTTATTGTGTTGCAAGTGCTGTAAAACACTTACTAAAACTAAACCCTCCTTCTTTTTTCTGTTCGTTACTCTCTTGTAACACCTCTAATCTTCGGCACTTATATGAACTTGTGTTGCAAGTGCCGTAAAACACTTACTTAAACTAACTAGAGTTTGGTTGTACTTTGTGATTGTTGTGTGGTACCAAGAGTTTGGTTATGTCTTGTGATCATTGTGTGGTGTCAAGAGTTTGGTTATGTTTTATGATCATTGTGTGGTGTCAAGAGTTTGGTTTTGTTTTATGATCATTGTGTGGTGTCAAGAGTTTGGCTTTGTTTTGTGATCATTGTGTGGTGTCAAGAGTTTTGTTTTGTGATCATTGTGTGGTGTCAAGAGTTTGGTTTTATTTTGTGATCATTGTGTGGTGTCAAGAGTTTGGTTTTGTTTTGTGATCATTGTGTGGTGTCAAGAGTTTGGTTTTGTTTTATGATCATTGTGTGGTGTCAAAAGTTTGGCTTTGTTTTGTGATCATTGTGTGGTGTCAAGAGTTTTGTTTTGTGATCATTGTGTGGTGTCAAGAGTTTGGTTTTATTTTGTGATCATTGTGTGGTGTCAAGAGTTTGGTTTTGTTTTGTGATCATTGTGTGGTGTCAAGAGTTTTGTTTTGTTTTGTGATCATTGTGTGGTGTCAAGAGTTTTGTTTTGTTTTGTGATCATTGTGTGGTGTCAAGAGTTTGGCTTTGTTTTGTGATCATTGTGTGGTACCAAGAGTTTGGTTTTGTTTGATGATCGTTATGTGGTGTTAGGAGTTTGGTATTACTTTGTGATTGCACTGTGTTTTATAATGAGCATGTTCTGGATGCCCCCCAGGGCAGTGCTACTAACTGAATTTGTTTTTAGGCCATTTCCAGAGGAGGGATATTAACATGTTCTTATACACAGTAGAATTGTAAATGGGCTGATTCATCAATGTCATGCTCATATTGTGCCGGAACAGTGTAGGGGAACTCACTGCTGCTTTTTCTTTCCTCATCCTTACTATCGTCATTTATCCTCTTTGTCACTGTCTTGTGAACTGCTCTTTCTGGGGTGCCTTGATAGTTGAAGCAGACTTACTGCTGTTGAGGCAAGATAGGTGAGCAGAGTATGCCTGATTCCCTGTTTGGACTTCTCTGTTGACATCCACCCCTTGGTGCTCATATGACCTTATGCAGTTGCGAGCGCCGTAAAACCTTACTAAAACTAATGTTCTGGATGTTTCGGGTCTTGGCAGTACCAAAGATCCTGTGCATTTGTAATGGCTTTTAAGAAGGTGAGCAGAACTTGTTCATGGAAGAACGCAAGAATTACAAAGTGTAGACTTTGAATTACATCAGTGTGTGACTATTTATGCGATGTCCACTATTGATGAAGGAGGTTTTTGACTGTTTGTCTCAAGGAAGTGTGGAAAGAAGGTAAAGTGGGTGGGTGGTTAGCGGGTGTTCTGGTATGGTTTGCTTCTTCTTTCTTTTCAAACATCTCTCATCTTTATCTCCTCTCCTTCTTTTTTATGTTTGTTACTCTCTTGTAACACCTCTAATCTTCGGCATTATATAACCTTATTGTGTTGCAAGTGCCGTAAAACTCTTACTAAAATTTAAAAACTAACCGGTAAAGAAGGTATCATCCAAGTTGGTAGATGAGTACCTTTGTCCAGGCCTGAAAAAGTAGCTGTATCTGTCGTTCAAAGATCTTTGGTACTCTACTTGAACTCTTTCTGTCAGTGTGGGTGGTTGGCGGGTGCTCTGGTGTGGTTTGCTCCTTCTTTCCTATAAAAAATATATCGTCTCTGTCTCCCCTCCTTCTTTTTTTGTTTGTTTCTCTCTTGTGTGCCCTGGTCAGTTCTCTATTCTTTCTCACCCTCCAACCTTCCAATCCCATTTTTTGACATGTGGGTGGTTGGCGAATGCTCTGGTGTGGTTTGTTCCTTCCTTCTTGTCAAACATCTTCCTTCCTGTCAAACATCTATTGTCCTAATCTGTGGGTGGGTAGGGGGTGCTCTGGTGTGGTTTTCTCCTTCTTTCCTATAGAAAACTATCGTCCTTATCTCCCCTTCTTCATTTTTATGTTTGTTACTCTCTTGTAACACCTTTTATCTTCTGGCGCTCATATGACTTTATGAAGTTGCAAGTGCCGTAAAACACTTAAACTAAAACATTGTCCTTATCTCTCCTTCTTTTTTGTGTTTGTTAATCTCTTATTGTAACACCTCTAATCATCTGCTTTTATCTGACTTCATTGTGTTGCAAGTGCTGTAAAACTTTACCTAAACAGAAAGAAACATTTTTTAAATGTATGCATAAAACCATGTACTGATGGCTTCTGTTGTGACTCACTTGTGCAGGTTAGAATCAGATGTAAAAAAGTTAAAAGCCGATCTCCAGGCAAGTCGCAACTGTGAGCATGAGCTCAAGTCTCAGATCAGCAGCTCATCGACAGAAGAGAAGGTCTTGCGTTCAGAGTTGTATCAACTTCAACAGGACAATGAAAATTTACAAAACAAGTGAGTGTCTTCGAGTACTTTGAGTTCCTGTTTCATGTTTTTGAAAATGCTTTTTATTATTAAGTCTTGTGATAGTTTGAGTTGTGGGGGGGGGGGGGGGGGGTTCTTTTTTTGTTTTCTTCATGATAAATTATTGAAATCTAACTTATTTGAGTCGTTTGTGGTTTCTAAGGTAAGTGTTATTTCTGCTCCGAAAGGATGTAATAGTAATTTCAGGTATGATTCATTACTGATGGTCCCTGCTTTTCTAAATATTTGTGCCATTCCTTCGAAAATGAAACTTCCATGACACGCGTTATATGGGTGTGATGGCCTTCTGAAAATAATTCAAGGTGGTGATGGAGCCATCCCTAATCTTTTTTTTTTCTTGTTAGAGGAAGACAACCTTCCTCTACATTTTAACCAGCAACATACTTTTTTAAATTACTCAATAGGTATCCACAGACACTTTGATGGTATGTATTCAGAATTATTGTCAGTATGGTGACCGTGACACATGGAACTTTGAATGGCCTTCTGGTGGACCGTGACTAGATTTAGACTTTTTGTAACTGTTGAGAGTGCAGCTACTGAAAGCTGTAATCTGTTTGAAGGTTCACCTCCTGTCGGAGAAAGTGGATGGGGAGGTAGAGATTTGTTCTGTCATACAGCGGGAATGCTCAACAGTTGTAGATTGATATGTCTCGTAAAAAGGTAAGGTGTTGATTGCTCAAGCAAGAAAAATTAAACATGCTGTTGTGGGTGGTTGGCAGGTGCTCTGGTGTGGTTTGCTTCTTCTTTCCTATCAAACATCTATCGTCCTTATCTCCCCTTCTTCCTTTCTATGTTTGTTACTCTCTTGTAACACCCCTAATCTTCTGGCGCTCTTATGACCTTATGCAGTTGCGAGCGCCGAAAAACCTCTACTAAAAAAGACCCCAAAAACATGCTGTTTCCAATATGATGCGATAGTAAAGGGTCTGAAAGTCCTTGGCCGATACAGTTACCAGTCCACTGGGCTCACTTACACAGGTTAGAATCAGAAGGAAAAAAGTTAACAGCCCATCTTCAGGCAAGTTGCGACTGTGAACATGAGCTGAAATCTGGGATCAGTAGCTAATCAACAGAAGAGAAGGAGCAAGTGAGACAGTAAACTGATATATGTGTCTTTCTTTGAATTAAGTGTATGCGGAGGCCTGTTCTTGATGCAGCCGTGGTGCATTGAAAAGTACTTGATGCCTAGTGGTTTTTCTTTTAGTGTTATAACTTATGTCTAAATTATGATGACAGTCGTCTGAACAATATAGTAAATATGAGGATAATGAGGAGACTCATTTTATGAGCTGTGTACGGCAATTTTTTGTTGTTTTTAGTTAACAAAGGTCAGCTTCTGTTTGGGGGTAAGCCTCTCTGTGTGAAGTCTAAAATCTTTTGTGTTTTCTTTTTCAGATTATATAACTTAGTCACATCTCGGCAGCAGGATAAGCAAACGATAGCTTCCATAGAGAAGAAGCTAGCAGAGGAGAGGAAGACTAGAACTGCCTTGGAACAGCAATTGGTGAACGAGAAGAAAAGTAAGACAGCTGAAGCAGCTGCAGCAGCTCGGGCTGTTGCCATGGCAGCAGCTACAAGGTGAGGACAATTTATATAAAAAAAAAAAAAATCAATAAAACAACTCTTTTCCGACTAAAAGATCTCTGCTTGGTTTCCTTACCAAAATTAACTGTGTTGGGTCACACTGCATACCGGTAAGCAACTGCTTAGACTAGCACTGGTGATGTGTTGCAAACATAAAAGCAGCAAACATTACAACACTCTAGTTACATGCGCTATCGGGTCAGTATAAGGCAATGCAGGGTGTTTGCTGGCACATTTTTGGTTCAACTTCGTTGATTGAGGGAATAATGGGTTAGGGTTGATTAGTGTTAGACTGGAGAAAGTTAATGATTTGTGTAAGAAGAAAAAGATCCGCCTTGGCTTTTCCTAGTTACTGTAGAATTTTGTGAATAATGAGGGTTGGTCATATGTGTCACGACGCAGTAAAATCAGGTCCTCGTCAATTTTAGGGCTCAGGGAGGTATTGGTATCATCTTAAACTTAAAGGTTTTTCATTTGGCTTGCTTTCAATAAAAAAATAAATATTCATTTATCTTGAATAGAAGTCGAGATATATGCGATGGAAGGAGGTGGGGTCGCCTGGCTTCAGAGGTAAAATTAGCGAGACAATGGTCGCCAAAGTTTGGTGACTTCCATAGCTTAAGAGTCCTAGTGTGGCTGCCTCTTGTGTCTGAGAGGAGCAGAACTGTTTTGTGGGTTCTGCCTTCATGATAGGATTTGGTTTCTTTGGGTTGTATTTTGTGAATGGTTGTGGCACTTCGTTTGAGTTTCATTAAGGATCGTGGTGATTTATCCTTCAGGGGTGAATGCACCGACACATGTAAAGCGAGGCGAAGGGACTTCGACAATGAAATGAAACAGCTGCGAAGGGAGAACAAGCTTCGGGAAGACCAGTACAGACAACTAGAAAGAGAGGTACAGGTAAGCAAATATAGATTGGTGACAAACTAAAAAAATAAATTACCTCTTCTTTCATTTGCATATATGCCTTTAGTTAAGATGACCATGTCTGTGGAATTCGCTTACGTGACGTTTCCCCCCCCCTCCATTCTTTTCAAAGAAATAAAAACATAGCCAATAAAACATGATAGTTCACTAAGGAATTTTAGAAAAGGATTTAATGTTGTTAGTGTATTGTAAAAGGAATGCTATGGGACTATTCTGTAATGTTTGCACAACTGACCTCAGTTTAATTTGATGAGGAAATTACGCTATGAAAGGACTCTGGCACCTCAGATTTTCTTTATCAGCTTTATCTAAGCCATCAGTAAAAGTGTTTCATAGTAGATCATAGGTGTTCAATTTAATGTTCCCCTTTGGTTTGAAAAAAAAATTCTTTTAAAAGTAAATTCCACAGTTTTTGTGTCTAGGTTTGACGAATGATGTTTTGTTCAGTGATAGCTCTGTCAGATTTTAAGTTAGTTTTTTTTTATACATCATTTTCAGGCTCTTCGACAGTACAAGGACACCCAGAAAGAGACAGAAGTGCTGATGAAAGCACTGTCGACCATGCAGGATAAGAATGCTGAGCTTGAAAATAACTTGTGCGCTGAGACACGGTTCAAGCAAGATCTTTTCTCTGCTTTGGGCAAAGAGAGGAACGAGATCAAGATTTTACAAAGTAAATTTTTTGCTTTGTCTTGTTTTGAACACTGTTCCCATCAAATTACAACTCCTGATAGCTGTCATTGATGATTGAATACTATCGCTAATGGACTGCATTTGCAATTTGTTAAGATTAATTCTCTATGACAGCCTTGGAGACTGTAACCACGTATACTTGAAATATTTCACACAGCTCAACCTTATTTGAAATTTTGTGTGCTAGAATGTATCTTGGAGAGGCACCTTTGTCGGTTGCAAAATAAGAATGGGCAAAGTACATTCTGTTAACAGTTTAAAGGTTTTTATTTTGATAGAGTAGAAATTATTTTCTGTAACAGAAGAAGGCTTCTATTAGGGGCTTTTGGGTGTTGGTTTAAGTTATAAGGAAGCTGCTTCTTTTTTTGTTTTTCTTAAAACAAAATGATCTGATTGAGAAATTCTTCCGTTGTATTTATCTTTATCATGCTTTTTTGCTTCTGGTTATGTTAGTCTAACCTGATTTTTTTTTTGTCTGTGCAGATACTGTGGCTGAGAAGGACAATGAAATTTTGGAACTCAAGTCTAAAATCGCGGAGGTGATGGCTCTGATTCCCAGCCCAGCGGTCACCAGCTATCAGCACCACTCAAATGAAAGGAACTCCTCGCCCCTCTTTTCCTCCGGGTTTAGCCCCGCTCAGGACTTGGGCTCCTCCATGCCCGTATTCAATGGACCTGACTTGGCTTCATCCTCCGAGTTGAACCCAAATGCTTCAGACTACACCCCAAAATCAGCCATCTAAGAAGCGAAGGACAGCACAGTTTTTGGCTCCGGTTGATTCAGTTGGCGGAGAGTTCTTTAATAGACACTTGTTTTAATTTTTTTTCCAAATTCTTTTTGAAACTTCAATTGTGTCTTTACTTGTTATTTGGTCTGCTGTTTACTATGAGTCTGTATGTATTAACTCTCTTGTTAGGTGATAATTTTTTAAAAAGACAACCGTGGAGATGTTGAATTTTGGGGTATATGTATGTGCTCTTTCAACTCTAAGACACAGTTAACGTCTTGTCTTTTCACAACCACGTTTATCACGGGTATTGGGACTGTGGAAGTTGTAAAGGGTTGTTTGGTTGTTATCTTTGTTATACCAGAGCGAGTTCCCTAGGGGTAGTCTTTTTGCTCTTTCACATTAGGAAAACACAGAAGTAAACTAGAATGTGATTTTGATCTGAGTACAATTTGATCAATTTTAGTTTTAAGATTCAGCTTTACTTGACGATAAAAGAATTGAAAGACTTTCATGTTTTGATACACCTAATGTTTCATTGTGATAGTTTTCTTTGTATGAGACTTCATTTTCACAGAAATAAATCTCCACCTTCACTAAGGAATGGGTGATATTCCCAGGAGTAGGGTTTTAAAATTTTTGAAAAACTTAAGTATCTAAAGGCTCAATCATTATCACACTGTCCAGGAATATGTTTTCAAGTGTTTTTTTCTAGATTGGGTGCAGTTGCTTTGAGTAATGGGTCAAGAGAACTAATGTTCAGAAACAATTTCAACAGGGTTAAAAGTATATTTTATTTTTCAGGCAGTTCTCTTGTCTTTTTACCTGATCAGATTTCTCAAGGACCAGTAATGAACGACCGTTTTTAAAATATCCTAGTTGGCAAGTCAAGAAATGTGAAATGTAGCCATGTAATTGTACAAAGAAACTTGACCTGAAGACATGCTCGACAGACGTAAATTCTCTAGACAATTAACCTGACCAAATTTGCTACAAGTGTTACATATCTCCTGAAAGGAAAACTGATTTCTGTCACTCTACTAGTCAAATTTATCACGTGCGTAGATAATTCATCTTTCATGTTTCTTTAGTATTGTTTCCACCACACCAGCAGGTATTATGGAGATTTTTTGACGCGTAGTCCACCACACTAGGACACTCAATTCTATTTGCATTACGAGAAAGATGAAGATGTTGTATACAGTTATGAACCGACGAAGGGACACAAAGGGGCACGCAAATTTTGTGTCACGTCTGGCTCGTGGCGTCATTTCAGGACATCAGGAACTGACTACTTTTCCGTGATTTATCGTGCAAGTTTCCCACGTCCTACAGATATTATTATTATGTTTATTGAATCCCAAAGTCCACGGGAATATGTCCGAGAAAAGGGCGTCTGTTGTTGACCTGTTTTAGTTTTTTTGTGCTATGGTATCTTTTATTCGTGCTTTAGATATTGTAGGCTTGCCTCGCACCTTGCCTGTATGTTTTATCTCTCTCCATGGCCTATTCTTCAGTTGTGTCTCTGTAGTATCTCGGTGGTAGAACTCGCAACTATTGGTTTCCCGGGCTGTCGTCTCAACTGTGTTGGGTGGTTTTTCTCATAAGAACTGGATTTGCATCCAGCCTGGTATTTGAATGGTATGACGGGCTTCTTGGCATAATTCGGTTGTTACATCAGACGAAAGATAAGGTCTTGTATCGTCTGTCTTGTACAATCAGTGGACAAGGAATGCCTGTGTTTGATAATCTGATAGTTTGTCATTACTCTATCAGAGTAAATGGTTTAGTAGCTTTAAAGTTTTAATTATTTTTACTTTTTTCAACTCTGTATTAGGAAACTAAAACATATCAAAGTGTCAGACTGATATTATGATGCAGGAAACAATGGGTTTTTGGTCCTGCTAGAGCGTCTGTTCCCCGGGAGAGTGGTGGCTAGGTCTTCTGGGCTGCCTTTATGATCTCAAAACTAGGTCACGGCATAGCTAATAGTAACAATAGAATAGAAGGTCAGCTGGTTTTACAAGGGTTAATCTTTTTACTTGCCAGTACTTCTCAAGTAAGTTCTTCTTTGGTGCCTTGTCTTTATTTCTCTACTGCTTCTTTTTAAGAGATATGAATATTTTTCAGTCTTCCTTTATCTCTTTAAAAAAAAATCATTTTCTAGTTTGAATAAAAGCATAGTCCACTTATATCACCAGTCTGAAATTGTGGAGAAATACATAGTTGAGCATGTTGAACTTCCATGCACATTTTTTTTCAAAAGGTGTAGCTTTATGAGATGAGTAGTTGGTATGGTTTTAGAGTCCTTCGGCCAAGCTCTATTGTTTACCCAAGTTAATGGGCAAGCTTCTGTAGAAATGTAAGACTTGGACTGTAGGTTAACCTTATAGCTCAAGAACACTCCTTAGTAATTCTTTTTGCATCTGGATTTTTTTCTTTTTAGATTTTGGATGGAGACCTAGCAGTGGATTATGTTAGTGTTATGAGTTTTAAATCAGCAGATAGTGAAATGCCTCTTCTTATTGAAAGCAATTTTTAAATAACAAGTAGGAGGGTGGGGGGGGGGGGGGGGGGCGTAGTGAAGTAAGTGTGGTGAGGCAGTAAAGAAGCTTCCAGAAGAAACATTTTCATCAGACTGTCTCGTCTTGCTCTGCATGAAGTGGAAATTAACCAGAGCCCTCTCCTCCTGTGTAGTCTGAGCAGAGTCCCCTCCACATCTGTGTACCTCACGTTGAGGGGAACTGTTGCACTGTTCTTCATGTCATAAGCTCCCTGTTAAAATTTTTCCAACTTTCAAGTCAAGTTTTTCATCCGTGCTTGAGAGAGTGATCTCTGTGGATTGTAATCTTATGTTACTCACATTTAATTTATTAATTACGTCTTTGTTCAGATAGGCGGCCATCGTGAAAAAAGGAAAAATGGCATTTGTGATAGCTTTGTGTGGAAAAAGAGTGTGTACGTCTAAGCTCTGTATTGTTAAGAATTTTCAGTGAAACTGTACCTTATGCTCATTCCATATCAAGTGTGGAGCAGTAAATCTCCAGTATTATGACAAGCGATGTTGTAGCATTAAAGTCATCGCTACTGTAAACTAGACCTCCCTAGATAATATTGCATAATGTTTTGAGATGCACCTAAACGAACATAAGTTTTGAGGTGTTCAGTCCTCAAAATGGAGCGAGTTATACACACGCGGAGGCCTTTGTGGATCACTGAAACGTTTATTTCAGTTTTCTTGTATTTATTTTTGACATTTAAAAAATTGTGTGTCACTGTGTATCAACTTACTAGTAGGAATTATTATGTTGGTAACAGTAAGAATAGTGAGGAATGTTAGCATAAAGAGGATATTTATACTTAGCTTTTGCTGCAGTCTAGAAGTCGAGCATTCGAGTTGTCTTTTATTTTGTAGTGAATGCGAGTAGTGAGTTAGTTATTTAAAGCTAGCACTAGCTGGCTCTGTTTTGTTATTTTGACATGTTTCAGCTGTTGATATGGTAATTATGACCAGGTTTGTTGGGGTATTGGTCGATTCTTTGGATTGGACTTTTAAAAAAAGCAACCCAAAAAAAAAACAACAACTAATTTTCAGTGTTTGAAATAAGTGGCCACTTCTCACTTGGTGGAACCTGCTATATCTGGTATCTGCCGTGCAGTAGTACACAAGAAGAGGGGGGGGGGGGGGGGGGGTGTGGGCAGGTGGTATTAGGTTCACGTTGTTTCTGTTTGACGACTCTTTGTTACTTTTTCTTTTTGTGATGAGGTAAACATTTTGTGATGGCAGTTTTGTTGGAAGTTTATTATTTGTTGTTGTTTACTAAAAATTTTTTTGGTTGATTATATTTTTTCTCTCCCTATTTTTCCTGCGAATGTTGTTCTTTCCGCGCCCTTCCAAAAACTAGTAGAGTATTGAATGTGTTGCCTACATTTGTTGTCTTCTCTGTACGTCTTCTTTTTGTACGTGGTACTACATGTCGAATTTCCTTCTAAAATGATTGATTGTCAGGGGCATGTCGTCGTCGGAGGAATTTCTCTGAACTCTGTGCTTGCTCTGATATCACTGGACAGTAGCGGTTTTACACCTGCCACACACTTTATCACTGCTGACTCTCACTCTCTCCTTATGAAAATCAAATTCCTTTATTGTTTTTTTGTAGTGGTTTTTTTTTTATTCTTCGAAAAATGAAAAATGACTGAAAAATGACTTGCCTTTGTATTTCTAGTGTTTGTATTGAAAAATATTGGGAAGTCCTAACCTAAAGAGTTTGCCAGCAGCTTTATAATTTGAGGAAATGTTTTGATAATTTTTTTGAAGTATGGTACATTTGAAAAAAAAAAGTTGTTGGAATTCTAGGTTGTTGTTTTTTTTTTTCCCTTCTGAAATGGATGACACAGGGTTATAGATTATAAATGTTTGGGCTTTCTTCAAAATCTGCTTGTGTACTAAATAAACTTCTCCAATTTTGGTGGGTCTTTTTTTTTTTTGGTCAGCTCAGGTTTTACAAATTTTTGTCTTATAAAGAAGTATTTTCTGGCTCCTGTGTACCTTTCTCTACATAGTAAATGTGCTGTTGTAATATTTGTGTGGTTCAAATTGGTGGATGTTGTTTACACTTTATCCATGCTAAATTTGACAGTAGGTAGAACTAAAGCTGCCTGGAGTTTTCAGAGGGGAAGCAAATTATGTTCTGTCTGGTCTATTAGTATTTGATTATTGGTTAAAGAAAGAAAAAAAAAACTGAGAAAAAAAAACATGTAAGTGAATGCCTGTCTCTGCCGATGCTAATGAATTGGTCTATAAATTTGACAATGAAGAATATGGCCAGAAAATGGTGCATGGTAGGAATAAAACAACCAGTGCTCTGGTGCATACAATTCTTACCTCGTGTTGCATTTGTTTTTTAAAATTATTGTTATTTATGGATGATTCTTATATCTGTGTGAGGGCTTGTGTGTGTGTTGTATTCGTACTTCTGTATTGTACCTGCCTTATGGTGTCATCAGCTGTGCTTGTGATTTGAAAGTTAATCAGAGACGATTTTCCTTGTTCATACTGACCATCTCTTTATTTTGGGCAAGGATCCGTTCTAATATTTCTCTCAAAGTTGACATTGATTGGCTTGCTATTTTCAACAGCAAGGTGTCTTTTGGGAATAAATAGTGAAATGCACAGTGGAAAATTCAAAATGTGTGTAAGCTCTAACCATTCAGGGACAAATTCATGCCAAGCCTTCAGTTTTCCTGAAAAAGTTCCCTTCAGTTTGGTGTCCCATTCTTTGAAAAAAGTGCTGTCATCAAACTGACTTATCCACAAATGCTGGTCATCGCTGTGGAATCAGGTGCTTGTCAAATTTTAGGGAACGGAGAAATCCTTTTTTAAACAAAACTGTTGGCCGATTTTTATAGATATTTTTTTTTACATAGATCCATCCATTAAGAACATTTTATTTAGAATTAATTTTACTGAAAAATGTTTAAAGCCAGAAATGAAAGTTTTTGTAGAACAATTACATGTATTTAGCATTAGTAGTAGTCACCTGGTGTTTTCTCTCTAATTTCTCCCGATACTGTAACTGTAACAGCATGTGTAACACCCCCCCCCCACCCCCTTGTTAAATCACTCACAGTTGAGTCACAGCTCCATTTCTATTTAGCGCAAGATAGATAATAAATATTTTTTTCACCAAGCTCAAGGGAAATAAACAAGCTTTAATCTGAAAATAATGACTCCATATGCTCTAAAATTGACGAGCGCCCGATTCCACCAGGCTGTGACACTAATGTCTTCAACAACCTGTAGATTAACCAACCTAGATTCTGAACACATTTATTCGTCTTTTCAACCACCGTGGACACCATGGACGGCATAGGCTTGTGAAGGGAGACCACCGACTTCTAAGCGCCAGTCTGAGAAAGCAGCACTGAACCAGACATGCAGTCTGGGTGGTTGGCAGGTGTTCTGGTGTGGTTTGCTCCTTCCTTTCTATCAAACATATATCATATACCTCTCCTTCTCTTTGTACATTTCTCTCCAGTTCCACATTTGATCTTCAGCACTTATACTTATGTACGGCCTAAAAGTGTTGCAAGTCCTGTAAAACTCTTACTAAAAAAATTCAAGCCATGCAATGTCAACATGGAACGAGAAATGCTGGTCAATGGGTGGTTGGCGGGTGCTCTGGTGTGGTGTGGTTTGCTTCTTCTTTCCTATCGAACAGCTATCGTCTTTATCTCCCCTTCTTCTTTTTGTGTTTGTTACTCTCTTGTAACACCTCTTATCTTCAGCATTTATATGACCTTATTGTTTTGCAAGTGTCGTAAAACACTTACTAAAACAAACAGATGTCCTTATCAGTTCAGGGTGTACTGTAGATGTCATTAAGCTGACTTGCTGCAGTTTCTTGTTTCCATGCTGCAGCTGGTTCTCATTCATGACCTTCTGACAGATGAACAGGGTTCAAATCCTGATACATGTAGCGTCATCTACAATTTCTCATGAAGTTTCCACCCTAGAAGTTACACCTATGTACAATCAAAGATAATACAAGACAAGATGGGCCACTCAGCCTAAAAAGTGTCCGCAGGAAGTATGCTCTTTGCTTCAGATGGCGCTGCAGTCTGTTTTGAAGCTCTCTTTCGTTTTTCCAGAAGAAGAATAGGAATAGCACCTCCTTGCGTGCGCAGATCGACTGCTGTTCATCAGCAGTTCGGGTATGTTCAGTGCGGAGTTTTAGTTTTTAAAAATTTTAATGACCTCTCGCCCTTCATTCTAAAGTCAAATTAAACGTAGAAAACCATCTCCTTTTCCTCCGGAAGAGGTTTTTTGTCAGCGTAACCATTTTTAAAAAGCGTTCTTCCGAAATTTATCCCAAAACTTGCTAGATTCACTTTGATTTTTAAAAACTCGAGTAGGGTAACTCTGTTCGCAAAGAGTGCGCTTTTGTGAAGAGGGCGCCACCAAATTTTGAGGACACTTTTTTAATTGGCTCAAAGACAGAAGTGGCCCATCTTGTCTTGTACTATCTTTGGTACAATGTAAATGTATCTATGTTCATCTAGATGTGCACATTTTGTTCTGATTCAACAGTCACCAGACTTCAGGAACAATAACTATGTCTCCTTACATAACTTACTAAAATTACGGTTTTTATTGAGCCTTTTCATGGGCGAAGACAAAAAAAAAAAATCATAAATGATAAAAAGTTTGGGGTTTTAAACAGATTTGTGCAGCCGGTGTAAAGATAGAGATCCTGCAAAATACAGCAAAATTAACAAAGTGACAACAGAACATTTATAAAAAAAAGAACAATAAAACAGAAATGAAAACTAAAAAAGATGGCTCTTTTTTTATTATAACGATAATATACAAGATGCAAAGTCCCCTTTAGTCACAATTTGGCCTTTACCTCCTAATTTCTGCACTGAGCAGTATATGTCTTTTTTCAGTTTGAGATTTCATGACGGAGAAACGTCAAAATAATCAGACTCATTTCAACAAAACCGTAGCCATGTTCCCATGTCGTCAGTGTTAGTACAGTTAGAACTACAACCATAAATATATTATCCCAATTCATGTTGTAGTGCATAACTGGTCACGACCAGCTCTCAAAATTGGTCGCTTTTAAGCACAAGGCTTCAAAGGGGGCTATCCCGGAAAATGCTGTTTTGAGAAAATCGAAGGTAAAGTTTTCGCCCCTTGCTCAGTTCCTTTAAAATTAAAAGACAAGGAGAGTTTTCTCTTATAACCAAACAAAAATATACACCAATGAAACCAAACTTCTCTTATAGGTAGGGCAATGCCCACTTTTGGTGAAGGTCAAAATTTCTGGAAACCCCCGAAATGTGGGTCAGCCCGCTTGTCCTTAAAAGTGACCAGTTGGCACTAGATTTAGCAAATAAAAATCCACATGAGTAACAACAGCTTTCCTGAGAAAAGAGAAACATTTAGCTCAATTGTAAAGTTTGACCATTTGGGAGCATGGAGCACTGTGGTTTAATTTCCCACGAGTCAAATGATGCAAACTTAAGTATTGTTGGTAATTTGACTCATATGTGTCAAAAGTCTAAACAAAAAGGTAAATATGTTATAATTCTAACGAAGTAACTATGGGAAATATTGTTAACGAAAGTCTCACTTTAACTTTAATAATAATAATAATAATAATAATAATAAAAATAATTGCATTTATATAGCGCATATCCATGCTCAAGAGCATGCTCTATGCGCTTTACAACTATTGTTACCCCAGCAGACCTTCTGAGAACACATAGAAACATACAGTGCAAGCTGCAGATTTCACGCGCTCAAACACTATCAAATTGACAAGATCATTCACTGTCTATAGCCGGGTACCCATTTCCATCTGGGTGAAGAGAGGAAAATTTGTGCACGGGCCCCTGACGGGATTCGAACCCACGACCTTATGGTTGCGAGTCCGAGAGCCTAACCACTAGGCCACCGACACCACTTTAACAAAGTAGAGATGATGCAGCTCACTCAAAGAATATGCTCTGAACTTCAACAAAAGTCGGGGTATAATGGCATAATAAGTAAATGGGGATTAGTTACCAAAGATGAACACAATCAGTCATTCTCAAATGAGCACAAAACCAAACAGTCAATAGACTGTCCCAAGTCTTAGAATACATCAAAGAAAGGGAATTCCGCCTTCTCAGGCCGAAGCAGATCTACCAGGAAGCACACGGTTCCCGCCCACCCCTCGTACAAGCTGTAGGGACTGTCGGGAGTCCTCGCTACGGACTGAAACTCCTGCGTCAACATAAACTTGGCAAACTCGTGAGCTCGATGCAGGTACTTCTCCTCTTTTGTCAGCCGATAGAGCAGCAAGAAAACATATCTAAAAACAACAAACAAACTCATGTTAGCGACACAATCGAACACAGAAAGTGAGCTAAATGACCTGACAATAATAATTGCAAACTTCTGCAAAAAACACACAATTGTGCAACAGTGGATATCATCTCACTGTTACTTGTTTGGAAATGAAACCATGGATTTTTTAGATTCTTTAGCAAAAGAAGGGTCTCGATCAGAGTAGCCTGAATAAAGGACAAGTCTTTCGATTTTTACACCTTCTCAAAGCTCTATCACAGATGCACCTTCAAACGCCACCAAAATGCAGTTTAATGCTATGGTCAAGGCTTACAATTTTCTTGCTTTTCATGATTCTTGATAGGAACGACACAACAAAAACTACTTTTTTGTTTCCAACTCTGACGTAAAAAGTACCCAAATGGACTGCTTGTAGCACTGACAGTTTACATCCGACAGGGGGTGTGGTCATGCGAGTGGTCAATGTAGGCAAGCAATGAAACTGAGAGGGTTCACAAGGAAGAGGCTGAAAAGTTGTAGTCTGAGACTGAGAAACAATTCCCAGATAATTCTTTCCACTTTCCTCCGATATTCCCTCACATTACAATGTTAACTTGACAGTTTCAAAATTTACCTGGGCAGGGGAAACCACTTCTGGTGAATTTACTTGGTGGAAAAAACGTTAAAGCTGACATTTTTTGGAAATTTGGGTGTTCCGTATGCCATCTTTTATCAGACTACCCACTCACTCCTATCTCCATGCATTGATCCAACATTGAATAGAGGCAAAAGTAAGAGTTTCAAACTCATAAAAACATGGAGGAAGGGGTCCACGATAATCCAGTATTCTGTATTTGAAGGAATTTGGTTTGGTTGTTTTTCTGTGTTTTTTTTTAAAAGAAAAGGGACACCTGCTATGTCATCTTTGAAGGCAAAGAAAGATAACAAAGTGTCCTTTCTGTGAAGAAGTAATATGATCTTCTGACAAGTCAACAATAAAGCAGAGGTTACAATACGTACCCACTTCCTGCAACACCATGACAGATCCCCGGCCCCTTCTTCAGCAGACCTTTCTGCCACGTGACTTCTCCACATTTAACGCAAGCCTGAAGATAGCGTTCCTCTCCCCAAACTTTGTACGCCTTTGCAAATAGGTAGATGAGTCCTAGATACAAAGAGTGGCATAGAGAGGGGGGAGGGGGAGAAAGGAAAATTAGGTGCGAGCAGTAGCAGTTAGTCAATTTGTCACCCTCCTCTCTTCAGCCCAGAGGGAAAGTGGGTGGGAGAGGGGGAGAGGGAGAGGGAGGGGGAGAGGGAGAGGGAGAGAAAGAGGGAGAGAGAGGGGAGAGAGAGGGTTTGAGGGAGGGAAGGAGGGGGGGGGGAGAGAGAGAGAGAAAAAGAGAGAGAGGGAGAGAGAGAGGGGGAGAGAGAGGGAGGGAGAGAGAGAGAGAGAGAGAGAGAGAGAGAGAGAGAGAGAGAGAGAGAGAGAGAGAGAGAGAGAGAGAGAGAGAGAGAGAGAGAGAGAGACACACACACACAAATAGTTGCCTCTTTAAATCGAAAATATCTCGACTTCTATTCAAAATACATGGGTATTTTTTTCGCTAAATGCAAGATAAATGAACACTCTTAAAGGTGATACTAATAACTCCATATGCCCAGGCATGTGGAGTTATTGGTAGCATCTGAAAGCTGTTTCATTTGCCTTGCTTCCGATGAAATTATAAAAAATGTTGAATAGATATCAAAATATTTGCGACTGAAGGTCAGGATCGCCTGGCTTCAGTGGTGAAATTAGCAAGAAAATTGTCGCCAAAGTTTGGTAGCTCCAATAGCTAAAGAGTCCTTGAAAACGGAATAATAACACATTTTGAGTCTTTAATCAATGTTTTTCAGTAAAATTCACATGGAAATGTGTTTTTATATGGATCTAAAAAGGGTTGAGCCAAAAAAAAAATTCAATAAAAATTTCCAAACTTGCGGAAAAGCTCATTCTCCGATTTCGTTATTTTGACGAGTGCCTGGTACCACTGCGTCGCGACACATACCTGGAGCTCCGTGACACCAGTGCACCAGTTCTTCTCCCTCTGGCCGCGGCTGTAAAAGCTCGTCTGTGGCCGGGACAAAATTGCCATTGGGCTGCTGTAGGCTGAGTAGCCAGTCCACGCTCCTCTTGATGTCACGGGCAGCCTGCGGGTCTGAGGCCAAGAACGATGGGCAGCAGAGCAACATCTGCAGGATAGAGCACAGACCATGCGCTGCCCCTGTATCCAGAACAAGTGAAAAAAAAGATCAAGACCCATGATGCAAAAAGAAAAGAAGAATTAATGCGGCTGGTTTATACTGAAAGCCCCCCCCCCCCCCCCCCATTTAAAAAAAAAAAGATTAGTCTGAAAACTTCCTGTAACAAGCTTGCAAAATATGTAACATGCTGCACACAATTTATTTTTATGTTTTACAGCTTCCAAAAAGCTGACCTCGGTCAATCTGAAGCATGAAGCAACTAGGCTTCAAATAGCTTCCTAGGACATTTTTTTCTCGTAAGAAAAAAAATTACACCCAAATTCAGATATATATATATATATATATATACAACTCTTATTCTGTCTTTGACAAGTTTTCTTTGACAGATGTTAAACTGCTCTAGAGCATTGTATGCACTTTCCGTCCCTTTCCTCAAAATGAAGAGTATATACCACTAAAATTAATCTTTTTAAATAAATCTGTGCTAGACTTTTTATCTCAAATTCTTTGGACTACGAAGATTATCAAACATTCAACATTGAAAGTAAGCAACCTGCTAGGCAAATATATGATGCATGCATACATACCCAAGTATTCTGTGTCATAATAGGCATACATCAGAGGAGAAGGAGAACGGTGCATTGCAGCATATTCCCTTCCAGACTGGACCATGACAGCACAGATGGCATTCAAGGTGTCATCATTCACAACCTGACAAAAAAATAGTCACATCATCAGAATCTTAGCTTAGTTTTAGTAAAGAGTTTTACGGTACTTGCAACCCAATTCAATAAAGTCATAAGTGCCGAAGATTAGAGGTGTTATAAGAGAGTAACAAACACAAAAAAGAAGAAGGGGAGATAGAGACGATAGTTTTTTATAGGAAAGAAGGAGCAAACCACACCAGAGCGCCTGCCAACCACCCACTGAGAATCTCAGCAGACAGCATAATAATTATTCATCTACCAAAACAGTAAAGATAGAAAAACAATGCCAATACGAGATGCAATGACTGAGGAAGGGAGGAGGGTAAAAGATAAGGACAGAACCTCTCCCCATTTGGAAAAATAGTAACAGTTAAAAGCGACTGAGACCATAGATAAGGTTTTAGCATATTAATTTTACTTTACCGATTTCTACATATAAGGAAAATTCCAGTTAGTTCACTGCAACATGAAAGTATGTGGCAGCTTAGGAGGATACAAAAGGATTACTTAAGTTACTCTCAGGGTGAAAATTCAAAATATGGAAGTCAAATATGTACAGAAACACAAAGAACTTTGGGAAAAGAGTTTTTTTTAGTAGAGTTTTTTCGGCGCTCGCAACTGCATAAGGTCATATGAGCGCCAAAGGGTGGATGTCAACAGAGAAGTCCTTACAAGGAATCAGACTTACTCTGCTCACCTCTCTAGCTTCAACAGCACAAAGTCTTCTTCGACCATCAAGGCACCCCGGAAATAGCAAGTCACAAGAGCGTAACAAACATACAAAAGAAGTAGAGGAAAATGACGATAGTAAGGATAAGGAAAGAAAAAGCAGCTGTTCCCTGTTGTAGTTCAGGACAGTTACGAGTATGACATTGTTCGACCAGCCCATTTAAAATTCTACTGTGCATTAGAATGAGAAATGTCCCCCCTTTGGGAATGGCCTAAAGACACTTAGTCAGTGGCACCGCCCCGTGGGGTTTGGGAAAAGAGTAAAGGAGGGAAAAGTATGGAAACAGGTAATGGTAGGAATAATACAGGGAAAAAAACCCAGTAGTCCACTGCCACTCTCCTATCTCCATAAACAAAGAACAACTAAAAAACAGATCTTGGGGCAAGGACAACTGAAGCAATACCTTGATTTAGGTTAAATTTATACGACAATACAAGAAACAAAGAATTAAAACGAGTTGTTATAGTCAATTTGTGTGATGGCTGCCACATGTTTAAGCCTGCACAAATTAACTCTCAACCCTTCCAGCCCCATGCGTATATATTTTTAGCAGCGCTTGCACCTCCCACAGTCCAAAGCATCTCAGTTTCAGGGGGGGGGTATCGAATTTGCGCATTTTTTGAAATAAGCTAACCTGAATTAAACTTTGTTACATGATATTATTATTATTTAAACCTCATTACAAAGATACGAAATCCCATTTTGGAAAACATGCCTCTTTTTCTGAAATACTGCTGTATTGGCTGGGACTGGAATTATGGAGTGTACAAAAATAGCTGGGGCTGAAAGGTTTAAAAGTTGGCACGTCTTATGAAAAGACGCTGCATTATGATTTTTGTTGTTGTTGTTGTTTCCCTCATTTATAAAAAATATCTGCTTGCCTGTACTACAACTGCATCAAGGTACATCAAATCTTCATTCTTTCATAAATATGTTGGTGAGTAACACAAGCTCGCAAATAACACATATGCTATTTTCAAACGCACTTGCTGCGGCAAAACAGGGAATAGGCAAACGACTTGTCAGAAGAGTTAATCTTACTGAGATTTTGGCCAAATTTACCTTGAAACCCAACTTTTTCTGAAAGCAGTGAGTTCCACACAGGTAGCCAGCACGCCCAACAAAGAGCTCATCCGACCCGCACGACAGAAATCTTGGCTTCACACAGATGCTCGCCAGGGACTGGTATCGTTGAGCATTCTCTCCCACCTGAGCCTCTGCCTGCAAGGAGCTTCCCAAAAGTGCTCCTAATGTATAAACACCTGCTGCTCCGAGCACAAAGGACACAGCATCTGCAGGTTTACTTCTTGTTGAATACTGCAGATTTGCCTTGTATATTGACTGAGCCAATTCAAGATATTTACTCTTATTTTCACTTAACAGTGGGTGACTGGAGATATACCACAGCATGTAAGCAACACCCGCACTCCCGACATATAACCCACCATCACAAGACATTGACCTGCACACGTCATTATTTATTGCATTGACAATAGAGTTTATGTGTTCGCGCCATGCGTCTTTTGAGATTTCAGTGCCGCTGGAAGGATTGTAGTCTTGAAGTTTATTTGGAAAAAAACGTGTCTTTGGCATCATGAATCCTGAAGACAAAAAAAAGACACAAGACCATTAATTTAAAAAAATAAATATTGTGTATTGAGTAGAGGGTGAAACATGAATTACGAAACTTGGCAAAAACCATAATTCTGACATGCTTAAATTTTTTGATAAGTCATATTTGTTTTGAGACGATCAAGAGAATAAGAAAATTTGTCAATAGTAAAACAATTATTTTAAAAATAAGAAACTAATTAAAAAATTCCCCCCAGCACCAGTTTCTTTCCTTGAGCACTTTCAAACTGAATGGTGAAGTAGAGTGCTGTCAAAAAAAGTCCAGTTACTTGAGGCTGCTATACTTGTTTGTTAGTGTTTCAGTGCTTAACTGGCTGTTGGCACTGTAGGCCCTGTGCTTCCCAGGGAGTCAAGAATATTTCTGAGTGTTCTCGGGTCTGCTGGGAAAATAATAGAACAGTAAAGCACATAAAATAAAAACACGCTGTAGAGCATGGAAGTGCACTGCCATGCAATTATTCATTTTACTTCAACTGCCATCTCATGCTCAGGTATAGTGTAAGCACCTTGCTTGTTCATTTTTATCCATTTTACATGAATTCTGACTCAATATAATCTGCAGCAAATAATTAGTTTTTTTGCTGATGTTTTTACTTGAACTAATACAATAGGCTGAGTTGCATAAGTAGTATTTGGTATATTTTTTTTAATCTAAGGGGGTTTCAGAAGGCACATCCCCCTAAAAAAAAATTGGTGGGGAGGTCCAGATCCTCATGACCCATATAATTTAATTCAGTTAATAATTTTCTTATGCTCTCCTCAGCCATGGTTTAGCCCCCCCC